GATGATTAGTGGGTCCAGGAAACCGAAGCTCTCGGATTAGGTGAGAACTGCTCCATCTTATGGGATTGACAGACACGAAAAGGTGGTTGGTGACCGAAAGGAAGAGCATATCAGTTCAAAAGTAGAAAACATTTTACAAAACGGTTCAACCGATCATCTGCTATTTTCTAATCGGATTCTCAGCTAGCAACGGGGCATTCGACACTTTGGAAATACACGAAAGTATTCTTTGCGTTAAGCGCTACCAAACTACTCTGTTTATGGATAGAAACGAAAACCTCAGACGAGGTTGGTGAATTTCCCTCTATATGGGTGAAATCCATAAAGCTGTCCACATTCAGAAAGGGTGCTCGCAATGAGTGTGACAATCACAGCTGTACCGGGTTGAATCCCGGTATGATGAACATCTTCGCATATCGACTCTCAAAGACATGTGAACATGACCCAAGAAAAGCGCGGAGTATTGCAAAGAGAACGAGGTTGTGTGGAATCAATCACACAAACAATCAACCACATATCCTGATACATCTTGTTTTCTTGGACGCATTCCATTCTGTCCGTCGGTTGTTAGTCCCACCACAGCTGTACAACATGGCGTGCATCGAAATTTCGTGAATATCAAACACCTTTTTATTCACAGACTTTTGGGTGTGTGATCGTTTTATCGTGAGCATTCCGTCTACGATTGGTGCTTGGAACTTCTGACTATCCCCTTCAGATTTCAGTTTCTGCAAGGGTGGAATAGAGATGAGGGCGCCCGCGAGATTACATAATTCCGGTGACGGAATCAGGCCACCTATTCAGAACAATGAAATTCCAAGATATTCTTGCAAAAAAGCTTGAAGATGAAAATATATCACCAGTAGCGACAGGTGACCATACGGTGCAGATCCCAGAACTGATAGACAGATTATTAGGTCAAAAAAGAATTCGATGAGCCGACGCCACAAAGAAATGTTCCAGATATAACATCATTCCGGTACATAAAAAATTGTTCAGATGTAGCACTCTTTTGGTGCCTAGCTGCCATGCAACCCGAAGGTTGCACGAGAGCTGGGATACTGCCAGGCTGCCCAAGCCTAGACAGGTGAAGTCGAGAGGCAGAGCGGGTCGGGTTCGAACCACGGACCATCCGGTCAGCAAATTCGCGCTCTAACCACTCGGACCATCTCGTCGGGTAGCCCGAACGAGGGTTAAGATATCACCAGGCAGCCCAAACATACATGGAATCAGTCGAGGTGCAGAAATTGAGTTCAGACCACGGGCCTTCCGGTCAGTAAATTCGTGCTTTAACCACTGAGCCGCACTAATTGCAGAGGACTAACACAACCGGAATACTCAAACACAAACCACTATCGGAGTAACAACTCAAGAAACGGAAGTCCCTCAGAGTCACATCAACAAAGATCACATAGTTTACTCTAGAGGAGTCAAGGTCACAGGTCACTCGAGCATTGACCAAGGGAGGTCAGGCTGAAGTGTCACTCGGTCACCAACCATTCAGGACTGAGGAAAGCAAATTAGCCAATAGAACCGCATCAGCGAACAACCAGTCGTAATTCAAGGTCATCTCTAACTAGCAGAACGTTATTGGCACACAACCAATAAGGTACCGCCAAGCTCAACTGCTCCGAAATAAAAGCATGATCAACCTGCCCAGATCAGAACGCAAATCACCGAACAACCAGTCGTAATTCAAGGTAACTAGCAGCACGTTATTGGCACAAATGTAATACTGCTCAACACACAACCAACGACGCACCTCCAAGCTCTACAGCTCCTTAAAAAAGCATAATCAACCTGCCCAGATCAGAACGCAAATCAACAACCGCTGTTTCCATTGTTAGGAAGCAAGATGAAGCTTATGGATCATCACGTGAACTGATAGTGTCTATCCAGAAAGACACAGTGGAAGCTGAGAAGCACTACATTCATCTTGGAAGTTATGTCAGTACTACAAGTTATTTCAACACAGAAATTTTTTGCGATTTGCGTTTACCAACTTGAGCCACTTAGGGGTCAAGAGACATGTGTTTCAGACCAGAGTGTAGATGTCTTCTTAGAAGACTGCGAGACTCGAGCGCTTCGGACAGAGGATCCAATACTCTTACAGGTATCTGAGCAACAGTGTTTCAGAACTACAGCTGAAATCCACTGAGATTTCAGTCAGATGACCAAGAAACAGCAGATCGTTTGTGGTAGTTCAGCGATTAAGCAGAGAGACTACTGAACGGAGAGTCAGTGTAAGTCTAGCTCTGACTGCTCAGTGACTCCAGTCTATGCTTGGGCAAAACGGTGCTACCTTAGTCTTCGTGCCGCCTTCAAACCGCGCAAGAGTTATGCGTTTTCAAGTTTCCGCACTTAAACGATTACTTTCGAAGCTTATATCCAGCACTGACGACTACGATGGCTCGGTTATGTGCCAGGAATGCCAAATNAAATTGTCAACGCTGAAAACAGTGATTTTCTCATCACCCACTCCGGGATGCAGAAAACTTAGACCTCCGCGAAAAATAACCTGATTGGAACGGCGTGATGTTACGAAAAGTCGGGAGTTGTTGGCGCTATCCAGCCCCCAGGCTGGGGTCATGTTACTCTTCATATACTGAATGATATGGCGTTCACGCTGTCAAGGACAATTGACGATTAACCAATTAGATCTGTCCCAACGAAAACGGTTATCCCATTGGCTGTTGTGTAGTCCAGCTACGTTCGGAGCTGCTTCTCCCAATAAATACCTCGGACGTTCATGGAGGCCAGCGCTAGGCCTTATCGCATTGACTTTTTCCTATTTGACCTTGTTTAAATAAGCCGATACGGTTGTAAAACAATTTAGGTCGTTGCTGTTTTGTGTATTATGATACTGGCGAGGCCGTGTCTGTGTGGGTCACAGCGCCCGGCGTATGTTTGACGTTTTGGTTTAGCTACTGAAATTCAGTCAGTAGTATGTAACGGCCCCGCTGATTCAGCGAATTACATGGCGGTAGCGGCGTTCTGCGGACGGACGGTGAACAACCGTATGGCGCTCTAAAACTCCAAGTGTTTTCGAATCGTCTGACTAGGCACTGAAACCCAAAAACCAGCAAGCAAATCCCTAGAATGGGCCTAGTCAGTGAGCGGGGGCTACCAAGCGCCCTAATGTGCCCAGTTAGAATGAGGACTCTTTAAATGTTCCTCGATCAATGCCAGATTGCAGATTCAAATGCTCATCGCATAGAGGTCTAATGTAATCCATCATTTGGATGCACATTTTTCACAGAAAAACAAGAAATCGGTGTCGAAAAACGAATGGAGAATAGGCCCGAATGCCAAGACAAATCCAATTATGCCCTGGTCATTGGTTTGTTCGCGGAGCTGGGCAATTCGATTGCAAGTGTTGAGTTACCAACATTCCCCCAACAGCTAGTCAGCTGTCCGGGGATAAAGCAATGCTTTGTTTTTACGTAGGTTCTATCTGTAAAAGACAGTGGTTACCGGTAAGTTTATATGCATGCCCATTTTCAAGAGAATAGACACTGACCATCACGTAGTTCTTATAAAAAGGGGAACGTGACATATCTGGGCACGCATGAAGGTATCGACGGAAAATATGAAGAAAAATGGAAAACCAGTGACGGAAAAACCGAATACAATTAACGTCCACAACGGTTGGACTGTGTTTGATACCAACGGTTGGCTGTGTAAATTCTCCTTGCTGCGGATAGCTATTTTTGTCATACTACGGCGAACGCTAATTTGATATGGCCTACACATAATATCAGGTGTCCGCTTTTGATAGTCTTCCGCGTACTACTCAGTCTCCACTTCAGCATTCTACTGAAATATCCCGGCTTTCCAATCATGTTCTCGAAAGCTCCATACCATAAATACCGTGTTCGCCAAACGATAAATCCGCTGTTCGATGCTGTCTGTGTGTCGATTTTTTGCTGCTTCTGCACGAGACGTTTTCAAGTGAATTCTGGTAGAGATCAGTCCTCAGATAGAAAAAGATGATCGTCCACCTTTGGCACCCTTACGGTGCGTAGCTGCCTTGCCGACGGAAGGAGGTACGAGGACTGTGATACTGCCAGGTTGCCCAAACATAGACAGGAGCAGTCGAACGACCGTAAGTTGGCGCCTTAACCGCTGGGTTGTCTCGAACTCTCGAAGTCCGCGTGCATCACTACAACGAATATTGGTTGCAGGTTAACTAACTACTGGAAAAATACGATTTATGATAACAGTTCCAGACTAACATCCTGGCTCCGAATATTACGTAGTGCACAACTCATGAGTGTTTCCAGATACTCTTGCTACCGAGGAGGTTTTTGGTAACTCAGGTAGCGTAGATGGTGATTTGACTATAAAGGCCTCATCAACAGCCGAGGTGACGTCAGCAATATATCGTTAGGGTGGCGAGATGACTCGGTGGTTAGTGCACGAATCTACTGACCGGAAGGTCGGTGGTTCGAACTCGACCTCCGCCTCTGGACTCCCCCTGTCAAGGCTTTGGCAACCTGGCAGTGTCCCAGCCCTCGTGCTTCCTTCGGATGGCACGGCAGTTGAACACTGGGAGAGCGCTACAGCTGAACAATTTAGTTTCCAACGGATGCTGGCCTAGGTGTTCAAAGCCATCAGGTTCTCCTTAATCCAATCCAGTCTAACTCCGGAAATCTAAGTGAATTAATGCGTACTAGTTGCAATTTCTCCTGTAACACCGTTCACATCACGCTGAGTCGCCACTTTCACCACAGATCTTGTTCAAACCTTCCAAAAGGTCACTCTAAACCACAGAAGGTCGTCAGGACCAAGACCGGACCCACAAGATATAAAGGACGTAGGTTAAGAAATCTCTGTACAAGTAAGTAACAAGCAATTGGACAAATGCACATGAGGGGTTGGAGTAGTTAGATAAAAAGTTAACCGGTACAAGGTTCCGTCTGGTCACTGTCCGACGAAGGACTGATTTCACTATCAGTGAGAATCAAATAGGAACTTCTAATCGTTTGTCGTCGGGTCACCCGTTTCCGCGTGTCCGAGGAAGTATCAGCGCGCTCGTCGGTAATGTCTGTCATAGCCTCTGTGGTGTCCGAATCAGAGGGGGAAACATTTTCTCGTCTGGATGTGCTCAGAAGCGATATTCGACTATGTGGGCGGGAAATACCTTTAGGTAGTCCCTCTCTGGCAGTGCGCAAGGCACGTCGTCTGGCCACGTTCTGCGTATCTGCGGCGCCCAGCTTTGCTCGCGAATGTCGCCAGATGTACGGGGTAGGAATGGACCTGATCTCAGGCATCTTTCCGCTGTTTAAACACGAAGAACTCGAACTGACCTCGGCCTCATTCAGAAGCTCGCTAAACTCGCTTAGGTAGAGAAAATCGGCACAGTAGAATTGAACAAAGCCGCAGGCTGTTCCCATCGCGATCCAAGTGGCTGACTCCACGTTTGGACAAAACCGGGCCTAGAATATGATTGGATACATGCGAATGATTAGAAAACAGTCTATTTGTGAGTTACATTCAGAACGAATGTTGTTCTAATTGACCTCAGTTGCGCAACCACTGCGCGGATTCACGATTGAGAGTTGGCATCTTTTCCCATGTCTACATTCTGGGTGACTCGGCAACCCACCCAAATATTACACACTGTTCAAGCATTTCCAAAGAGTTTCCATTACACAAAGGTCCCCAAAAAACAAACTCAGTCAGATGAATGATTCCCATAACTCTATTTACCCCACTACAGCCATACGATTGTCAGTGGATGGAGAATAGCGGATCCTCGCAAGGAGACGCTTTGTAAAAGAAACGCCTTGCCAGATGACGGCATCAGGTAGTGAGGTGGTAAATAAGCGACAGGCATTTTCGATTGAGTTGCGCGAGTCGGCTATCTACTAATTCGAATAACGCCGACCAGTCAAAGCAATTCACAACCGTTCGGCTATGGCAGTCATTCTACGCTTAGGACGCGCGAAAGCTAACATGCTGCCAGGTCGCCTAGACAGGAACAGTCCAGAACTCGGGGCTAGGTTCAAACCACAGAGATCTTCCGGTTGGTACGTTCATGGTGGGGCTGGAACCACGATTAGACAGTTTCGCGCGAGCTAGCTAGGTATCGCTGGCAGGCTATACACTATGCCAGCAGTCCTGGCTTATGGACAGACCGAAATCGCTGTTTCTGGAGCTGTTCGATCCCGGCAAGCACAACCTATGACCCACACAACCACGGAGCCTTTTGGAAGAATTGAAGGCTGCACCGAAGACACAGGTGGGTTTAGTTACAGCGCAGGACCGGTGACAGAAAGGCAATCTGGCGCCCATCAGCTCAACCGGTTCATTGCATCTGGTCGGACAAGGCTCCGGTGTGGTTCATTGCGATTTTGGCGAACTGTTTAGTGTACTTCATTTCTACATTAGCTCCCAGGACCTCCATGCTATCAGACACAACTCGCGTCCCACATAAGTTGATGAGGGGGGGGGCTGTTTCGGAAACATACTTATATCATATATGAAAGACAGCAACATCAGTGTTGGTGGAAAAGCGCGCGAAAATTGCCAAGCTCGGTAGACAGATTAGCAGCCAAGAAGTTGTCGTTGCTACCAAACCATGTTATGTTTGATTGTGCCGTGTCACACGGAGAAAAGCAACACTTTTCAGAAGAAACCTCAAGGAGTGCTTACCGAGAAGTCCTCTAGAAACTGCTCGAGTGAAAAAGCGCGTCCTACCTTAACCTGCTGAGCGACCAGCAATATCCGATTTTATACACCTCTCTGAACTCAGAAAAATGCATCAGCCTCTTCCATGGTTATATTTCATCGAAAAGATAATTCCCATCTCCAGAGCTTTTTATTGGGCGTTTCAGACTGCAATTTCATATAAGCCTGTGAGCTCGAAATGGAGACGATCAAGGGTCGGTCAGTCCCGGAATTGGTAACGAAGCCTGAAATTCCATACTAGTCAACTCAGTCGCGTTGGGAATATACTCCAAGTGGTTAGACCGCAAATTTACTAACCGGAAGGTCCGTGCTTCGAACCCGACCTCCGCCTCTCGACTTCCTCTGCCTAGGCTTGGTCAACCTGGCGGTATCCCAGCTCTCGTGCTTCCTTCGTGTGGCATGGTAGTTAGGCACCGAAGGGGTATTGCGGCTGAACGATTTCGATTTATGTAGGTCAACAGGGTCACTGTAGTATTTGGGTGGTTCGTCTACCTAGCCAATTTTGCACATGGCACCTGTGGATACAGTTGACTCGAACATACTGAGGAAGGGTGTGGATAAACACGCGCGGTTGACAGACACGCGCGACGTTTTTACTCGAAAACAGGAATCTGTGCAAAACCAAAGCCAGAAGTGAGAGTTGAGCGGCGAAACGGACGCAAGGAGAGACTCAACTGAATTTTTCGTTTATAGGGTCTGCTTTTTTCAGCTGAATAATGCGCTGCACAAAAACCACCTCATGTTCCAATTCGAATCATACAGTAAAATAATCAGTTGTCCAACAGAACACATTATTCATTAGGTGGATTATCGAAGGGCTGCCGTCAAAGGAACAAATTTGAATTTCCCAACGAGAACTAGGAACCGTACGGTGTTCACCCTCGTTTGATGGCTCAGGGGGCGAGATAGCTTGGTGGTTGGAGAGCGAATTTACTGACCGGAAGGTCCGTGGTTCGAACCCGACCTGTGCCTCTCGACATCCCCTGTCTAGGCTTGGGCAATCTGGCATTATCGCAGCCCTCTGGTGGCGTGGCAGTTAGGCACCGAGAGGGTGGTACAGCTGAACAATGGACAGTTAATGGCCATACAATAAAACCGAGAGGACAAGTCCATTTACCCACATGCGAGCGCGTTTTACAACGATTCGAGCAGCAAACATCTCGGTAACTTACCTCAGAAATACTCAGAAACGGGGTTTTGAAGTAGTCAGCGGACGGTTTCATAGGCACTTGATCCTAGGGAGGAAAAAGTCGGAAGCGAGAAAGGCGTAGAAGTCAGATGCGGTGAATTGAACGCTGTCGACTGAGAACAAGTAATGTTTAATGACCGTATTTATTAAAGCCACTGAAACCAGAAGATTCTGGATCTACTGAAATGTTATGCGGTTCCCCGATTCCAGCGAGTCCATCGATCCCAAGGATATCAGTCTGACAGTTCCACCATACCTAATCTCCAAGTTAATGACTGGCCTCCACAAAGTTCCACCCGTATTTGGTCTGGTGGCAAGAATAAAGCTCATCCTGCTGTGAAACTTGGCCCCTGTCACTATAGTAAAGCAGGCACCAACTGGCCGCATCAAGTACGTACTGAAACGATCTGTAGGGCGAATAGTAAGGAATGAATGGGATTCGTTCGAGCAGTCGATAAGGTGGGCATGCACTAGGTACAACAGACCGTTTTCCACAAAGGAAAGTCTTGTCTTCTACTCTGAGCCCTTGTTCGCGGAGCAGAAGCCACGATATCGCAGCGGGAAAGAAAATCCTACACAGGACATGGCAGGCAACCGATCCCAGTGGCAAGCCTCACTGTGTAGCCGGACTACCTGGATAACACCTCTCTGTGGCTGGGTGCCACATTTTTGTTTGGCGACGTTCGTAAAGGAGTTGGTGTCCTGATCCAACCCAAGGCTCGGATGCAATCATCGTAGTGATTTAGAAAGACGTAGGCACCTTACTCTTGGACGCCCTCTTTTGGGGCTTTTTTTACAATAAGTTCCTATCCCTCCTCTTCTCGAGAAATACACTCATTTGCAAGTCAATTTGGTTTTCGCAAGAGAGTCAACTGAATCTCTGAAGGGCAAAACTGGTCGTGGGCTGTCGAAGGGTTTTCAGGAACCGTGTGAGTAGTTTCCTTTATGAAAATATACTGCGATATCTCGAATATCGTGCCAACTGAAACATGAGGCGGCCCGTGTGCAGCACATTCAGGTGTAGAATATCATAAACGAGAGATTCAGTTGAGTCTCTCGTGAGAACCAAATTGATTTGCAAATGAGTGTAGTTCTCGAAAACAGTGCAATTTGGGTTCAAGTAGAACATAAGGTTGACGGAAACTCGGGGACTGCGCCCACCTGATGAGCCCCAAGAAGGGCGGAACCGGTTGTGGGCTGTCGAAGAGTTTTCAACAACCTTGTGAGTAGTTCCCTATCCCACCCTTTTTTCTTCACCTTTTACTACGACGTTCTTTACTCAGAGGTTCATGGCAGTTAAGCACCGGTTTCCGCTAGTGATACCGTTCGACACCATAGAGAACTACTACCTCAACTGACAAGTTGTACTGATGTCTACTCTTACGGGTATGTACAAACCCGGATTCTATTAGATGGAGATGGGAAAAGTTAAGTGTCCGCATCACAAGCAAGGTCCGGAAAGATCCACAAGTTCATCCAAACTTTAAACACAGATAGATTGTACTTCCTTTCCCCCGGTCAACCTCTTCCCTTGTATGCTGCTGTTTACTGCGTCTACCTCATATACTCGATATGCATTTCTAATCCCTCATGAACCTTGTCGAACCAATTTGGTCGGCCATCCTTTACGCAGGCTTTTTGACCATTTTGCGTTACCACGTGTTGCACCCAGGCGTGTGTCGCACACTAAGATCGATTTGCCATCTTCTCTGGGCTTGCTTTGGACTTGCACTACATCGTGCATCAGTTTAGATGGAAACCCCATAATTTGAGGTTTGTACCCCTTTTATTACGTATTTTATACATGTAGTACCGCATATTTTGATAAATCTCAAGAATCCGCAATTTCTGGCTTGTGATTTTGCACGTCACTCAAGTGGGCTTCCCTGAATACATAGGTAGACTCCAACTAACAATGTGAATGGGTGAAATTTGGACGAGAAAAAACTAACCTCAATTTGAGCGGTCAACTTGTAGCCGGACCACAATTTGTGCCAACAGAAACTTCGTTCCGAGGCGCAGTCACCACAACTGGGATCGCTAAAATCATTCGAGAGTGCTGGTGGGGTGAAAGTGGCCGAGGCGGGTAGAATGTAACATTTGGATGCGGTCAGCCGACGGAACACGTCATCCAATGACTCGGCTGTGTGCTCCACCTGTTCCATGGTCCACTGACAAACTGGAACACGCATCTGCAAAAGACAACGGCAAGCAGTCACCAATGGATGGGCGAATGTCTGAAGAACGAGAGCTTCTTCTGAGAGGTTGAACAGAAGTCGAGTAGGTCACTGACATGTATGCAAGGGACATGTCCACAAAGAACTTTGTTGGCCTATCCAAAGCCCGATGTTCAATTAACGGATACACACTATCCATCCGTTTCATTAAGTTTAGACCACCTCACCCCAGTGGGATCAGATCCGTCTGAAGGCCAAGTGTATAGAGTAGGGCACATCCAGTCTTTCAACTAAAAAACCGCATACCGAACCACAGTGGTTCCAGTTGCTAAAGATTCGCTCGCCGAGAATAAGGAGAACAGGGGAATGAGACCCACGCGTTGAAGGCACTTGTCCAGTCAGTTCATGGTGTCAGGTGGTTCACTTTGCTGTGTGATGCAGTACCGCCATTGTCTTTGTTGCAGAGTCAGTACCCATTAGCTGGTCTCGTTCAGCGGTCCCCTTCCAGTCAATGACTGATCGCCCTTGAGTCACATCCATCCAACAGAAGGTTGGGCGAAGAGGGTTCCAAGAAACAAACGGTCATGTGAAGTAAATTAACTAACAAGGATAACCTGTGAAGGGGAGAGGGGTTACCAGCTGATCCGTCGAGGACGGATACCTTTACGGGAAAACAATTTGGCGCACCTCAGCATTACTGATCTAATATTCCCAGCAGACCCGTGGTAGACGCCGCAACGTAATGAATCTGTGAAAAGTCGTTTCCAAAAAAAGTAGTCCGAGTGGCGTTTAACTTCAGTTTTCCCTGAGTATGCAATACCTCAACAAGCAAGACAATGAGTGATCGGCACTGCGAGAACTACTATATATGTATATCTGTATGATGGATGAGTAACTATTCGACAGTAATCCAAACTTAGTATCCACCCCCATAACTGCCATCCTACTCGTCACATCGCTTTCTGATTGGTTGATTCGCGCTACGTCTCAGCAAAAAAGGCGGACCAATCAATTACATCCCAGGAGAAGTTCCATGACAGAAAGAGTCCTCAAGAGGACTCAAATCTTTCACATAAAAAAGGAGACACTGAGGTGATTAACTTGGAGCGATTTCAACGTCACAGTGCACTAAGACAAGTGGCCAGCCAGTAGTATGTACAGCCCAAGCGAATTCCGACCGAAATTCGAAGGAATGCACGTCACAAAACTCGAGTGTATCACAGCCCTACACGGAAAATGAATCCACTAACACGGGTAGGGCTCACCTGGGACAGATATCGCTCTTTTATAGAGAGGTTGGATCGACCGTCCAGAGTGCACAAGACCAATTCAAGACGACCTCGATCTGTGGCACACAGCAAAGTGTTTAACGGTTCGCTTAGGTCCAAGCGCTGTAGTAAAAAAAGGTAATGTCACGAGGAATGTTAACAGGGCGAATAAGAGGACAACGTACGTTTCGTAGTATATTTGTAAGCTCGAGATGGCTAGGGCACGAACTTACAGACCGGAAGGTCCGCGGTTTGAACCCGACACCGTTATCTCGACTGATCGCTCCTATCTACGCTTGGGCAACCTGGCAGTGTCTCAGCTCTATGTACTGAAAATGCGTTGGAGCTGCATGATTGATTGCTTAATGTAAGATGGTGCCAGCTAAATACCAGGACACAAAATTGAACTCCCATAATATAACCTTCGTTGAGCCAAGAAAGTACTTCAAATTAGTTGCAGGAAATGTCCTTCGGAACTCTTTGGTGAAGATATTTCCAGCAATCCTTTCAAGTCAGACAGTTGCAAGGGCAGCCGAGACACACAACGTGATGAGGAATTCAAAGAGGCAGTCGAGTGAGGGACGATGCTGTCAAAAAAACATTTGGTTCGAGTCACCAAGAGCATGAGATGAAATTGTCTAAGCAGGCTAAGTGTTCAGCATTGGATTAACGTACGGGTAGAGATGAGCTGTAGCACGGTGATTTCAACAAGCAAGTACAGCGTTTTTGCCCACAAAGGATCGGGTTGCGATGTCTGATGACGATAATCTCAGCCACTGTGGTTGAGCGGTGCTGTACCGAACTAGCTTGCTTAGCAGATGTCCCACTATGGCTGGACGACACGCTGTGCGGCGCCTGCTAGCTGCTGCACTCTTGACCTTGTTATCGTTCTCTGTTTCGGAAGCAAACCAAGGTAGATTGCGTTCCTTCGTTTTTGACTGACTGGCCTCATCATTTGTCCAATGGGGCGAGAGAACTCAATGGTTAGAGCGCGAATTTACTGACCGGAAAGTCCGTGGTTCGAACCCGATCTCTGACTCTCGACGTCCCCTGTCTAGGCTTTGTCAACATGGCAGTAGTCCGCTCAGCATTTCGGCTGGTGCATCAGGCATCATTGTTGCATGTGGGCTCGCAGACTGTCGGATCACCAGATCCAGACAGGGAGACGTTTAGCACCCTCAACCAGAGCCTTCGGCTCAAAAGCCTGACCTCAAGACAGCGGTGTTTAGCGGGAAATGCAAGTGCATTACCATTTTTATAGAACAAGTCACCACGCATGTTCTAATCCCCAACCTAGAGGACCGGCAGACTATGTTGTTCAGACCATCGACCAAACTGGCAGTAGAGACTGCGAGTTTCGCATGCGCCTCGGTTGGTCACGAAGGCACACAAACCGCCACATTACTGTAAGGTGCAGTCTCTTCGTGACGGTGGTTGTACGGCAATGAAGCATCAGTGTCGACACTAATGTTGCTGTTTCTGATAACGATGGTGACTTCTTCTCTGGCTCTGGTATACCGACCATCCCAGCGTGACCATCCTGAAACCGTTCAAGGCCAACACCTAAGAACTGGAATCACTGCTTTATTCTTCCGAAGTGTAAGCTTCGTTAAGCTGTTTTTGAAGCAAGACCACTTTGATTTCATTGTTGCTTCAACCCGCGAAAATGTTGTCTACGCTTCAGCAATAGTACTGTTCTCTCTGTGTTTGTTTTACTCGCGAAAATATCGGCCAACTTCGGTCGGAGTGACATCACCAAGTTGACCGGCCATTGAATGTCTGCCACAATACCCATGTTCGCTCGACCAACTTAGGTGTCTGATCAGTGACGGTCAATCCAGCATTATTCATAAACCCGATCAAAAGTTGCATAGTTAAGGTTCTAGTCCAGATCAGGATCTGTGGTAGCTCTGGCGATCCCCAACGAAGACGATACATGTGTAAAATGCTTCCTCGTGTCGTAGCATAAGCTGCCCGAGTGCTCTGGCGACCCCAACGAAGACGATACATGTGTAAAATGCTTCCTCGTGTCGTAGCATAAGCTGCCCGAGTGGATTGAATCCGGTTAGTAATTCCCACTTACATTGTCCAGTGGAACCATGAAGGCGATGTAACAATGCTTGTCCAATGGACACAGGTGACAACTGATGATTAAAGAGGGAACCTGCATGTGGGAATGACGTGTTATCAGTGGCAAGTGACACCACAGCTTCACCTCTGTCTAAATTTGAACGACACTGTTCAGCAGTATGAAAGCGATGTGTTGGAATATTGATAGACCGGCTGCATCTATTGATAGTTGGTCAGGTAGCTATTGGTCGGTTTGTCAAGCATAGCAATCGACCCGTCACCATCATCAATGTGCGGTTGGGTGGGTAGTTTCCATCTTCGTTTTTGCGCCCATATAGTTTGTAACGAGTGTCTTCGAGCGTTAACGTGATTGGCTGATCAACAGTCATCTTACTTAGAGTATAATTGGTCGGTTCGCGATCTGTGCTGCGTTGCGGTCTGTCCTACTGGCATTCTATTGGTCAATTCTATTGATGTTCATTCCTTTCTGATCCGACTAGTTCGTTTGGGATTTGTACTACTTTGTGACCTTTTTTCTTCAAAAAGTGAAATGAACAATGAGCTTATAGAGGTTCAAGTACAAAGAGGGAAAGTGCCCATCGGATCGGGTGTTGGTGATGTCTCCTCGAATGGTGACTACACATTCGTAAGTCAATTGTCAAGCTCAGTAAGCTGGCCAATAGTCACCTAAATACCCGGTAGGAAAGCGGATACGTGTTTCGCGAACAAATTTACGGTGACTTTGAGGAGATCGGCGTGGTGATCCCTGTATAGAGGATCATTAAACACCGTAAACGGCTGATCATCAGATTGGCAAACACAAAAAACCTCACCGTAACACACTGCAGTCCCAAGGGGATAAGATGACGCAGACTATCCGGCGCAGCTGGAAACATTGTCATTCCCACGAGGTTGTCGGACTGTGTGATCAAATCCGCATAGTCTCGCATCGGCACTCCTCGGGAGTTGAGCAACGCACGTCTTTGAAAGGTGTTCTCTCGTGAGAAAAACCACATATCACCACGACTGTGCCAGAGGACTTCCGAACCTGGTAATCCATGATTAACGGAGTAAGACATTTCTGGGGAGTCTGCTGTTTGTGCGACACTGTCTTCAATATCCCACACTTGGATGTGGAAATTCATGCCTGTTGTAGGGAAGGAAAAGAAAGATAGCAGGTATGGAGTAGTCTGGGACTAGACAGCGATGCACTAGTCAATCTGAGATGAGTACCACTCAACCATAGAGAGAGCTTCCCTTTGATGAGGATTCTTCTACAAATAAAAGTTGAAACGTTTGGGTCTCCAACAAGCTCCTTTAAAAGCAAGCCATGAAGGCTGTGGGTGGCTCTTGGGGAGGGGGACTGACAAACTATACGCGTTTCTCTGAACAAAAAGGACGTTGGACGGTCTGTCAAGTTCCATTTGACCCTCAAATGACTGACTGCTGCGGAGACTTAGCAATTGCGATGACGATTTTCAGGTGAAATCCGAGGGACAAGCAATACAGCTGTTCCCCTCCGGCGAGAGCACGGCGCTTGAATGGAAAGGCCTCCGTCAGAAGAAGACACTCTGTCGGTGGCCTCCAGAGATAGACAACCACACAAAAAGCTTCAGGAGGTTGAAAAAGAGCTTGAGAAAGCCCAGTGTTTAAGGCGCCAACCTACAGACCGGAAGGTTAGAACCAAACCTTAACAGCTCGACTGCTCCCGTATCGGTGTGGGCAACCTGGCAGTATCTCAGCCCTCGAGCTTCGTTCGGGTCACACGGCAGTGAGGCACCGGAAAGGTGCTACCTGTAAACAAATGGCTTAAAGGGCCCCCGGTGCCGTCAACGAGCCTCTTGAGTGACTTCCACGATTAGAAAGACGTTGGTATTATTCGGAGTCTGGTGTAAAATGCGGTTTATGGAATTCAAACAAACGTCACTGATGATCGTGGTGAGAACCGGCAAGCGTGAAGAGGATACGCAAAACCGATAATGGTTTCATGACAAATTAGTCCAGGTAAAGCGGAGCAGGACCGGTTGGACTCACCTTGTACCAAGAGCATCCGGCCATTCACACAATTCAAACTCATGCTTCGGACCGGCCCGTTGATCAGGTGGAACAGGCGAACTGGAGCAAGGTGACAGTCAGCGGCACTGAAGTACATTGGATTGACACAGCTGAGGTCGTAGAGTGCGACGTGTCCTTGGAAAATTAGGCGAACGATTGGAAAAGTGTAGTGAGCACATGATAGAATTCAACAAAAACAGAAATTAACAAATCAGGAAAAAAATCTGTCAGTTGTAGCACCCTTTCGGAGCCTAACTGCCCGAAGGTTGCATGAGGGCTGGGATCCCGTCAGGTTGCCCAAGCCTAGACAGGGGAAGTCGAGAGGCAGAGGTCGGGTTCGAACCACGGACCTTCCGGTCAGTAAATTCGTGCTCTAACCACTTCGGCCATCTCACCCCACAAGTTAGGAGAGTCGAGAACCTAGGGATTCCTAGTGATTGAGCAGAAGCTTGAGGTTGCACACTCAAGTGAAACTTTCAAAAATGGATCGATAGGTGAATGCAGTGATTTCGTTCCCTTTCCGAAAAGAAAACGACTACCATAAAAAGATCAATTCCCGTTGGATAGATGAAACAATCGAAAACTCCGACCCAGACCTCCAAAAGGGGCCGTTTTTCTGGGAACTGGAAAGCCAACATCACGACCACCACTCACTGCATAGTCACATGCCGATTGCATGTATTCCACTGACTAGCCAACAACCTGGGCAGGGTGTTTCGATATGTTCGGTTCCTGTGGACCGAAATCCGTTTGAGAAAACCAGCTTAGAACTGTGTTCTCGGGACAGTCGGTTAGTTGAACTGGCTGTTTTGGTGGGCGACTGAGTTCGCCCACCGGAACGTCGGAGAGGAGGTGAGCGAGTACGAAATGTGAAGATTTTGACGTTTACACGATCACGCACAGTGGAAATAAAGGATGTCCAGGAAATCTTGTGTCTCCCAATGAATCTACATTGATCTTCTTCAGGACTTAGAGAGTGGTCTCTCTGGAAGCATCGTCCACAAGCGAAACCTCACGGGATCGAATTGAAGCAGTCTTGGTTGAGAAGAACTTACATGGGGGACTACTTTACAAAGACTGTCGCGAGTGAAACTGTTAGCTGATCAGGTGAATGCTCTCTCTCTCCCTAAATGCTCCAGCAGGCGAAAGCATTTGCTTTCTATCAACCATATGTCCAGTAGCTATGAACTGCTCAAAAGTATTGTTGCTGCCCGCCCATAGTCCCCACTGCGGGGGTCGCAAGCGTATAATCCTACCAAACAGTCTTACTTGGTCCCTTCGTTCGCACCGTCTTAAGTAGAGCAACGATCGTAGGTTGAGGTTTTCTGAGCCATCTATTCTTATCGCCATGTTAGTACGTGCTGGATTTGTCTCTTTTTTGTACGGGGTTGTCTTTCCATGGTTTGGATTAAGATGTCGCGTTTGAACGAATGTCTCCGGCGGCGAGAAGTTCGAGCGATGATGAGTGTCTCTTGAAGCCTTGGCTGGCTGTGCTGTCGATATCATGCCAAAAAACACAACGCTAAATTGCAAAACGTTTTTTCTGGAACTAACCAAAGAGGTAGCAGATGGTGCTGTGTGCGTGTTCTGTACTGCAGCTTACTATCTAGCATCCGTTTCGACCAAACATCCGCTCTTAAGAAGGCTGACTATACCACTGTGTTTCTTATGCAGGTGTGGACGTCAGCGATCTTTAGGGGCGAGATCGCTCAAGTGGTTAGAGCGCGAATTTACTGACCGGAAGTTCCGTGGTTCGAATATCTCGAGTTCTGTCTAGGCTTGGACAACCTGACAGTATCCCAGCCTTCGTGCTTCCTTTGGCTGGCATGGCAGATAGGCACCGAAAGGAATGTTACACTGAACGATTTATTTTAGAACTGTCCCCTAATGGGGAAGGACAACAAAATGCTTTCTGTCCAGAATGTGTGTGAACTCACCTCGGGAATAGCCGACAAACAGACGGTTCGGGTACTGGGCACGAATATGCACTTGTGTTGGCCAACCAACCCAGTCGGGATGTTCTGACAGAGGGAGAAAAAGAAAGATCTGTTAAGAAACTCCGACAAATGCATCAGGGGAAAAAACATACCAGTCGCCAAGCAACATTTTGGTTGGGCTGTTAAAACAATCCAGTTGGTAGCTGGAACCCGATTCACCTAACACACGTGAGATCAAAGAATAAACACGTGCACCAGACCGGCAGTATTGGAGGCATCTGGCCGTTGCCAAACCATCTGCTTGCTAAGTGTTTGCGTACCGATCGGAGATACCTGGAGACTGAAGGAGGTCAACTGGCACAGTATTATTTAAAAGATGGATGGAGAGCTGACCACAGAGTCCTTTAAGCTTCCGTTGGTTCTCATTGTCGCAGTTCGCATGGCATGAATGTTCGAGCCCATATGGCCTTCAACGGTTTCGGTGGGACCGCCAGTAAACCAGAGAACAAACTAGGTAGTATATGCCAAGACAGTTGGCCCAGTGGTCAGAGCGCGAATTTACTGACCTAAAGGTGGTCCGACCTCTGCCTCTCAACTTCCCCTGTTCAGGTAATAACAAGCCTTTGTGGTCTCAGCTGAGCTTTCACCATGCCGTCAGGGCTATAATCTCTGCTGAGAAACGGAGAAGCACCGTACAGCAGCTTCGTTTTTGGTGGGAAACATCCGCAGTGTAACATCTCAGGAACCCATGGGAGGATCCAAACGAACAACCCTCCGGTTGGTAGCTGAACAGAGGCCATGGGTAGCCATGTGTGGCATGGTTACAATTGGTATTTAAGGATCCAATTGAGAAATCTACCAGGTATCGGTGTGCTACTACTCAAAGACAGCCGAAGATTTGATTGTCAACAAACTTGTCTGTAGTAATTGGTGCATCATCGTTACCAGTTGATGAATACACTGGCGCTTACCAAGCTTACGTTTGGGGAACACTGTGAGCATGAACCAGCGGCCAAGCCAACGTACAAATGAGCGTCAAAAACAAGTGTCCGAAGCTATGAGCCCATGAGAAAAACGAGCAAGAAGTTTTGAACGGTATTCTATAAGTCTAGATATTATTTACTGGAGAAAAAGTGACTACGCTTATCCAGGCTGACTTTCAGCTTGCACGATCAACATACGGTGCATACCTGAGTACGGAAAGAACAATGTTGAGGCCGTTCAACATTTGAAACGTTCGCTTAAGGACAAACTTACTTGGAAGATTCCACCAGAGTGGACAGAAGAAACCGGAAGAAGAAAGAGCGATATTTAAACCAACCAACCAGCGGTCAAAGCCGTCTTATTTTGTCAATAGGTCTACAGCCAGGCTACCCAAGCCTAGACAAGGGGCGAGTTGGAACAAGTGGTTGGAGCGCGAATTTACTAACCGGAAGTTCCGTGATTTGAACCCAACCTCTGCCTCTCGACTTCCCTTGTCTAGGCTTGGGCAAACTAGCAGTATCCCAGCCCTCGTGCTTCCTTCGTGTGGCATGGCAGCTAGGTACCGAAAGGGTGCTACAGCTGAGCAATTTTTTTAGACAGGGGAAGTCGAGAGGCAAAGGTCGGGTTCGAACCACGGGCCTTCCGGTCAGTAGATTTGCGCTCTAACCACTTGAGCCACCTCGCCCCTAGCTATGCTGTATGAAAACAGCTGCAGTATGGGATATAAATGTTCAACAGTACTTTACAAGTTGGGTTGGGACAACGATCGACGCAGAATGTGAACCAAGATTCCAATTCACTCACCATTTCTAGAATCGCTCCCCGGGTGACCTGGAAACATCTTAGATCTCGTGTTATATGTCTGTCACGAAGAGACCAGACCTTACCGTGATGTGACGGTTTGCGCATCTCAGCCACCCGGTGATCTATACTGAGTCTCTCGTACCAGCTTGGTCAATGATTAGAGGTCTGACGCACACAGTCTCCTGGACCTCTAGGCTGGGGGTTGGAACATGTGTGGCGACGTGTTCCGTAAAAATGGTAATGTACTTGCATTTCCAGCCCAACACTGGTGCCTTGCGGTTGGGCTTTTGAGCCAAAGGCTTTGGTTGAGGACCCTAATCGTCCTCCTGTCTAGGTGTGGGCGCCATGGCAGTATCCCAGTACAACCATGATAACTACGTCTAACCATAAACTCATGCCAAATCCGCCGACATGCACTGAGACAGTGTACGGCTGAATGAGGCTGTCCAATGTGATTCCATAGGGGTCATGAAGAACGGTGTAGTCATACATGACTTCAGTAGTGACAGAAAATGGCATTATGAACGGACGAAACAAACCTACTGATTGCGGACGGGGATAGTTTCATCACACATTTGTCATTGAGTCGATACAAAGGTATACTTCGTTTTGTGCCAAAATAGACCGTATCGAGAATGAAGCGCGGCACTGAGAAGACTCGAACATAGCCATCCTGACAGGCCACAATCAAATGTCCCAAGGTTCGATGTATCCAAGGTGATGGAGCGTTGGTCGTGTAGAGTGTGCGGACAGCGAGGGTAACCGGGATAGGAAGCCAGCATAAATGCAACACGTGTCCCCAGTCATGTGCGACGAATATATGTGGTTCTGGTCTCCACCAAGTAGACCTAAAAGTCGGCAACANAGCCACGGACCATACGATCGGTAAGCTCGCGCCGCAAACCCTAAGCTATCTCCTGCTCCGTAATGTATCGGAAGCCCCGCACTTTCCATGCATTCTAGCCGCAGATATAGCCTGTTCATCTACCTCTGCGAAGGTTGCCGGTCCACGTCTCCCCAAATTTGCCTAGATGTCCGCCAGCATGGAGTCTGATACACCAGAGGTATGATACTCGCCCCGTCACAAACCAAGAGCTGTGCCCGCACTCTGCAACGTCAGGGCCTTACGCCAGATGCTTAGAAAAAGATCATTCAGCTGTAGCACCCTTAAGGTGCCCAACTGCCATGCCATCAGAAGGAACGAAAGTTGCCAAATCCTACTCAGGGGAAGTCGAGATGTAGGGGTCGAGTTCGAACCACGGACCTTCCGGTCAGTAAATTCGCGCTCCAACCACTGAGCCATCTTACCCCGTGTATTGAGAGGGTAGGTCGCTATATAATGGTCGTTTCATCTATTAAACCGATAACCATCCTAGAGTTGCCCTTGATATGCTCGACAACCACGGACTCAACAGGGTTGCTTCGGGGTCGCGAGCGCACCAAGTATTAAGTGATACGAGCAACCTTGGGTTAGCTGAACGGTAACATGCGATTCCTCATAGGCATTGAGCCATGGAGAAATTGCTAATGTTGTGGAATGTATGTAGCTCGCATACGCTACTTGGTTGTTCACCGAGCTTGGCAGTTGGATGGCAAACGTTTCATCAACAATCGAGCTGACATCGTCAACCCTACGCTGACGAAGTCACTTCGATTGGTGATGAAACGTTTGCAATCCAACTGTCAAGCTCGGCGAACAGACCAACAACCCATGGAGAAACTGTATGTGCGAATAACCAACGTGAGCACGCATGGTTAATCATCTGACTCAACTAACGAAGAAAGTGTTCTGAGGCAAGTTCGCATAAGCTCCGATCTGTTCTACCAATACGCGTCATCGAAACTGTATGTGGGCTAGTTCACAAAGCTGGAGGCAGAAAGACTGACTTGTTTCGTTGAGGGCAGGGTCAGTTGAGCGGCTGGGTACGTACGACTGATTATAGCACGTAATATGCCATGTGGCAGTGGTTACGTGATCTCCCTCAGAGCGTACGTAGTCTAATGAAAGCCCTTTTCCCTTCTACTGACTAGTTAGGCTCCCCCTTATGTGGGCGTTGGCGTATTTGCGTCACTGGCCGTTAAGAATCACCATCCTCCTTAAGAACTCTCATTCTCGAAGAGAGTCAGGAATACATATAGGTCTGGTGCGGCCGAACAAAATGCGCATCAGCAATCGCCCGTCCGGGAGGCACAGTGGACGAGATGGCCCAAGTGGTTAGAGCACGAATTTACTGACCGGAAGGTCCGTGGTTCAAACCCGATCTCTGCTTCTCGAATCTTCTGTCTAGGCTTGAGCAACCTGACAGTATCCCAGCCCTCGTTCAACCTTCGGGTGGCATGGCAGTTAGGCACCAAAAGGGTACTACAGTTGAACAGCTGAACGAGGATATTTGAGGATTTTCAATCGATACTTTGTCCTGTAAGTCGGGCCAATCGGTACCAACAATCCGAAGCACTGCATAGCTGTTTCATCCTTATTGGAAATCATCAGCAGGGAGTTTTGAGCGGGCAGCCACGACCGGCTGGTAATTTGAACACCTAGCCATCTGATCATGAGCAGCTGATCAGTCGTGTGATTAACTCGCATTTAGGAGATAGCGCAAATCACCCTTCAATCGAGGGATCCACATTATATGGTCACGTACTGACTGGCTTTGGGCAGCGGAACTGAGACGTCTTCAGGTGTTCGACAATTGTTGTCTCAGAACCATAGCTCGTGTGGGTTGGTGCCGGCGAATCCGTAACGAGGCAATTAGAAACCGCGTTATGAGTTGTGCAACGGGTACTTCCATTGAAGAATGTGTCCAGCAACAGAAGCTGCGTTGGTTGGGACATGTGTTGCGTATGTCAAACCATCGTTTGCCGAAGAGAATGCTGTTTTCCATGACCACCTCAGAGTGGCGGAATTAGAGAAATGGCCAACCCTTGACTTGGCAGAGTATGAAGGAGATCACGAAGCGCTTGGGTGCTGTCGGTGCTACTCACCTTCCAGGATGGGGACCGCATGATCCCAACTGCGCCTGGTTGGAGACACTACCAGAAATGGCTGCCAACCGATATCAGTGGCGTTCTTGTTGTCAGTTTCTATCCAGATTGCCTGAGTGAATGTCCGGAGGTGTGAGCACTTCGGAATGATTGTGGTAAGCTAGCACTAAGTCCCTTCCCCGTTCACCTTTATTCTTTTCTTTACAATAAGGCTTTCGAATAAATCATGGATGTACGGCAGTGAAGCATCGGTGTTGAACACTGATGTCATGCTGTCGATGATGATGACGATAATGATGATGATGATGACTGGCTTCTCGAGTGGCAACTCTCAGACGAGCGCTTCACTCATTGTGTGAAATCATTTTTCCTCTGAGCTACTTACAGATTCATGGAGGATGAATGGCGCTGCATCCTTTCTAAGTGTGCGTTAAGCACACTGCTGATCAACCAGGTACTTGTAGCTAAAAAGTTGTGTTCAAACCACTGGCCAGGAAGTCGCGAGTTCGAAACTCCCCAGAGTTTCTGCTGATGATTCCAAATAAGGACACAACAGACAGCCGTACAGTGTTTCTCGGCTTGTCAGCACAGATTGGCTTCATTTACAGGGTAAAATCTCAACCGTCAATGGGCGCTCAAAGAGAGGAACCGGCCTTTGAAACCCAATGAACCCAACTATGAAAAAAGAATTTGGATATGACGAATACTCACGGTTTCAACAGTCCCATCTGACCACAGTTCCAAATTTGGATTAGTCCAGCAGTGACCGAAGGCGGATCGGAGAAGAGAACCCTACTACCCGGTGTGGGGTAAGAAGCGATTGCCAAATAAGTGGGATCTTTGCTGCTTTCCGTACTAACCGTCTCCTTGTACAATCGAGTTGGGCACCAGGCGATAGACTTGACAAAACCACCAACGTATAAAAGGTTTTTTTCTAAAGGACGGAACATCGATGATGATCAGGAGAAAGGTTACCTCTGTCAAACTCGAATCGTTTAAGACGTTTCACTGTGGATTCTTTAGGCTGCGCAGACTCGGTTGTCGAAGACGGAGTTTCAACACTCAGCATAGGGCTGCTCGCAGGGCGCGGGAGGAAAGCCAAGGTATCGCTGGAGAGAAAACGATGGTTACTCAGTGCTGGAATCAGTGTTGCTCAGCCATCGAAACTTACCTGTAGTTGTACGGATGCCACATAAAAGTTGTCGCAAATAAGGCATCTTGGCGAACTTGAAAAGCCTCTTTATAAAGGATACTGAACGAATTAGGCTGTCACAAAAAAAAAGAAAGAGATTCACCTGGGTTGGAATGCAAAAGGATGCTCTGCATGCTTGAAAGAAATTTTGAGTGCCTCGATCGCTTTAGAAAAGTGGTCGATAGCCATTTGTTTTATCGACTTTGATAGCCTTCTCCTGCATGCGGCCAGAACCCAGCAGAGTGGGGAAAAATGCGAGGACTGAACTTTCGTTCGATCAGACGTCTCAGTTGCACCGATAGTTGGATTGCGTCGGTTAAGTGTCATTTTAGCAGCGGTTAGAGAAGCACGCTTTAAGCGACCCGAGCGTCTGGGTCCTACAGTTGAGTCCTCAGCTGAATCAGACTGCGGGGTTTTCGGTTCGTCTGATGTAGCCGGCACGGAACTAGGTGAGGAGTTGGTTGACGAATCGGTTTCACTCTCGTTTTCGTAAACTGAGCCCGATAGATCACTGGCATTCTCCTCTGTCCCGTCGTCTTCATCATCATCTTTATCGGACAAGCGCCTGGCCATTTTGCTAATCGCTTTCAGTGCTCTACAGGACGACAATTAAGTGTAATCCAAATGACATCGACAAACTTCGAAGAGGAGGCACGAGATATTCTTTCTTCTGGCATTTTGTGATCGATCAATGAAATGAACCGATATATACAGGGTGAGGAGTCTGAAGAAACGAAAGTCATTCGAAGAGGTTAACATAAAGCGCATATACGAGATAATATCACCATAAACGAGAGATTCCCCGTGAAAACCAAACTGGTGTGCAAATGAGTGTATACCGCTATACCGAGATAATTTGTGGTCACCAATGAGTTTTCCTGACATGAACATTATCGCGACCATATCGATAGAATACTGCCGGATCAACAGTTGCTCCAACAACCGTTGGGTAGGGAACTGCGTAGTGGTGATGGCGACCATTCATCATCATCATCATCGCGTACTCGTCGTACAGTGGTTGTAGCTGCCGCAGGTTCGTTCACCGATGATTTGGGGGGAGGGGGGAGGTAACTGCGCATTGCAGGCGGGAGCTGGTAAATTGGTGCATAAATCCGGCAATGTCAGTGGGCTGTCATGTGAAGGGGGCTGGAAAAGGAGCTATGCATTGAAGGCAATAGCTTGGATGCACGAGCGCCATTGAGGGCGCTGGTCATTGCCGTCTTCCTGGATGGGGACCCCGAGACGAGCCAAATCAGTGGCTGGAGACATTGTCAGATATGGCGACCATTATGAGGTGTTGTACCTTAGGTGGCTAACCAAATTTGGACACATTGGGTGTAGTGGGGCCGAATTCTTTCGTCGTGGCAGTGCCGTCCCCGGAATAACCACCATGCAGTTCAAAATGATCGCGGAGGCATCCCAAAGCTTGTCTGAATTCGAAGAGCTAACAATACATGCCTTTTACTAGACCCTTCAGGCTTGTGAACGACCACAAATCCCAGCTAGCTATGAAGTGATCCCCCACTTTGTTGACACTGAATGGGGACCTCGTCCCTAGAAGGACCACTTTGTGCATGGTCTCAAGAACTGGCGGGCAAAATACCGGACCGGCCACACTGGACCCCACTAATCCCAACCGGGACTACCGGCTTTTGAGAAGTGAGAAGGGGGAATCGGTTGACATGATAAATGATTTCTGTTTAACTACAGCAGGTCAAGATGCGTGAACACCAAGTTTGGTTAGCTCCGATGCGCATTTTGGGCGCCTGAGGGTAAGACTACAATCAGCTGAACTTACGACTTTAAGTGTATTTCACTGAATTTTGATACAGATCTTGGAGTTTGAGTAAGTCTGTGGTAAGTCTTCTTATTCCAGTTAACGCTAAGAAATCTCCAAAGTATTGGTCAGATGGCTGTACTTAAGTACGCCTTCAGGTAAACACTTCATGCTAAATGAAATATTTCTGACCCTTAAAACTAAAATAGAGATCGTCCAGGTCAGAAATGCAAGAAAAAAGCTGGAAAATACACACAGCTGCAATCTCTTTGAATACATTTTGACTGAGATGAAACCAGTGTGCTCCTCAGAATCTAACACGTAATGGAATATGGATTCAAGAGAGATCACGTGGTGGTGTGCTTCACTGTATCCAAAGTCTACCTCTACTAGTCTCTTTAGAGCAGTCAAGGTGCTTCGGCGAAGCACCCCAGTGGCTAATTCCCATCGACTTGGGTGATCAGAGTGTTGTTGAGGCAATCGCTCCGACACTTTCGTAATGCAGTGCTGTGCAGTCCAATACGATGTGCATATCTCTAGTAACTAGGAGCGAATCATTGGATGACATCCCCTCTGACGAACCCAGAGGGGATAATTCTGCCCCCCCTTCTCGAATGCCGCTCGAATGGGCAAAATATAGTGCAACTCCCCTCTGCGAACCCAGAGGGGATAATTCTGCCCCCCCCCTTCTCGAATGCCGCTCGAATGGGCAAAATATAGTGCAAGTACAATCCGCTTTGTGGAAGTTGACTGCCGTCACACCCAAGCCTCTCCTATAGTAAATGAAACTCAGTCACTCTGACTGAAAGATTCGAGGTGGTCTCACCCAAATAAAAATTACCCAGGTATAATTCATCAAGTGGAAAATGGCTCAATGGTTAGAGCGCGAATTTACTGACCGGAAGGTCTGTGGTTCAAGCATGACCTCAGTCTCTCGACTTCCCCTGTCTAGGCTTGGGCAACCTCGCAGTATGCCAGCCCTCCTGTTTCCTTCTGGTGGTACGGCAGCTAGGCACCAGCTTGGAGTAGCAACAGATGAAAGTAAATATTCTTGCTTTCGAATAAATAAAAATAAATCGTTCAGCTGTAGCGGCCTTTTGGCGTCCAGCTGCCATGTCACCAGAAGGAAGGACGAGGGCTGGGATACTGTCAGGTTGCCCAAGCCTAGACATGGGAAATCGAGACGCACGAGTCACGTTCAAACCACGGACCTTCATGTTAGGAAATTCGCGCTCTAGCCACTTGCGCCTTCTCACCATCTTGCTATTCAATTACATTTGGTCACAGAAGGCTTGGCAATTGACCAATACGATGGCTTTGGTACGTCGAAAAATTCATACCAAACATCACACCTCATGTAACCGAGAATTTCTGGGGACAACCAATCGAACGGCAAAGAGTCGGTTGAAGATAAAAAGAATACAAGATTGATTTCAAGGCAACGGGGAAGGACACAAACAGTACCTGATTCAATTATTGACGCTTCTGAAGTGAAATGAGCACTTTGGTTCCAAATTACATCATGTGTTTACTGTAGGGGAATTATGTTCTAGATAGGCTGAAATTAAAAGAAAACACTTTGAAATTCACATACACATGGTTTTAAAATTGACCGTGTTACCCATAATTATTTCAGTCGTCGTAGAAAATAGGGATATGATCGATCCCCCAATAAAACCCTCTCAAAAAGAGACATTGTGACCTAATCCCGCGGGTTCCCCCAGCGAGAAGGTCATCGGCCTTCGATGGAGAGCCACGGCTCAACACTGCCAATTTTTCTGGGGCAAAACTTGATCCCGAGCATGCCATAGTGCAAGCCAGACTGGCAATTCCATTCCTTTCAGAACACCGGAAGTCAGCAAGAAAAATGTCAACCCATCATCTTCGAAGAATTACCACTGATCACCAGTATCGACTTGAGCTAGCTCAACTGCTCTCTAAAATCCAGCAGTGTACTGGTAGCGAGCACGTGTATGAAGCATGGCTAAATATGAGTAGATATGCTAGCGTCGTTCACTGCAGTCTGTCCAACGTCTCCGATATGGTCAACTGACCACTGGATATCATCGATACTGACTGATACCACGAGCACGATGGCGCACGCCAAGAAGTGAAGAAACTAGGTGTTAGAGGGGATTACGCACTGATACCACTTTACCGCTCGACGTTAAGCGCTGCTACGGCCAAGAAGCCTAGCCCACATTCGAGTGTCAATATGGAGTGAAGAGGAAGTGCCTGCAGAGTGGAGCATGTCCACATTATCCCTATCTTCACGAAAGGTACGCGGACGCTATGTGAAAACCACCGTGGCATCAGTCTGTTAGCTGTGGCATCGAAGGTGCTCTCTGGCCTTATCCTTCGAAGGTTGACTGAACACAGAGAGAGGCAGATCCGTGAAAACCAAGCTGGGTTCCGTCCTACAAGAGAATGCATCGATCATATCTTCACTCTCCGGCCAATTCTGGAACAGTGTCACTGCATCCACCAACCAATAATGGTTGTGTTCCTTGAGTTGGAAGCTACTTTCGGCTATGTGGACCGTCAGGCACTAGGGCAGTGTCTGTGGAGCAAAGGTATCCCCCATAAATTCTTGACCTCCCGCTGTACGTCAACTCCCGCAGCCGTCTGAAGTTCTATGAAGAGCTCTCTTCTGAGCTCACCACATTAAGTGGTGTCAGACAGGACTGTCCAGTTTCACTTTTCCTGTTCGACTTCGTCATTGGTACAATCATGCTAGACGCACCATCAGTCTCTAATGCTTGAGGGATCGAAGTTCTGCCGGGACGTCCGCTCACAGATATCGAGACGACATAGCTCTTCTTGTATTTGACCCCATGTTGGCACAAACAATATTGAATAATCTAAATAATTCCGCCTCATGGTTTGGCATGCGCTTCACACCCGCAAAGTGTAAAGTGGTACTGGGAGAATGGGTAGGCTCGAACCCTAGCCTCATGCTTGCGGATGGGTCGATTTAGTAGACAAATTTGTGTACCTGGGCAGCTGTATCAGTCCAAAAGGCCTCGCAAAAGATTATATTTCCACCCGAATGGGGAAGGACAAAGCAGCTTTTAAGAAAACGGCATCACCTGCGGCGTAGGCCTGACATCAGCTTACCCGTCAATGGCCGAGCTTACAATGCTGTGGTGCGTGTTATACTACTATACGGGAAAATGAGACTGTCCCAAACAACTGGGGAGAATTGGTGATAGTGCGAATTTTCAAAAAGGGGCTCGTTGAGTGGTAACCACAGCGGGATCAACCTAACCCACGTTGCAACGAGACTGCTGGTGTCATTTGTGTTTTGTCGCCTTATAAGGGCTCGTAAAATAGTGAATAGTGAACAGAAAACAAGATTCCATCCTGTTAAAAGTGACGTCGACTTCGTCAGATATAAAACAACGCCATACGTATGAACAACCTACAAGTTTAGTACTCCTTGAATTCGAAGACACATTCGGGTCGGTTAACTGGTATGTTCTCTTTAACAATCTCGCCCAGTAACGAATGCCCCGGAAGTCTGTGGACACAAACGCCAAATGGAGAAGGCCTTTGCTGCGGGAAATAGCCGTGCCCTTTATCAACTGATACGACCGACTGGCTCTAGGAAAGCAACGGTCAGCGAAACGATAAATGAAAAAGATGACTCATTAATTCACTCGCAAAAACGTCGACTGGAGACATGGGCCGAACACTTCGAAAAGCAGTTCAGCTGGCCTCATGCAACACAACCAGTGG